CACACTGCACAGAAGCATCCCACACGAGCACCAAATAGAACTCCATCAGTAATCAAGTCAGGAAAACAGGCCTCAAGTTAATAAGCACATTTCACACGTGCATTATAAATAAAGGTGAAAATATGAATATGTGATTAATGAAAATTAATCTAGCAGCTGTGTATAAGAAACCCAGTTCAAAGTAAAGGTAGGTTAAAGGTAACAGAATAGAAGAAGATTTACCATGAAAATATCAAGTAGAAGAAAGCTGGAATGGCCATGTGAGCATCAGACAAAGCAGAATTCACAGCCAAGAAAACCGCCAGGGATAAGAGGAACGTAACTTAACTGACAAAATACGGTCAATTCACCAGAAAGACATGACAATCATAAATGTATCTGAGCCAAACAAAAGAGCTTCAAAATACATGAAACAGAAACTAAACAAACTGTGGGGGGAACTCAATAAATCCACAATTTTAGTAACAGACTTCAACCCTCCTCTCTCAGCAACTGATGAAACTAGTAAACAATCAGCAAAAGTTTAGAATTAAACAAAATAATCTGACATTCAAGAGAACTCCACTCAGTAATAACAAAATATACATGTCTCAGTGCATAAATAATAGATGCTAAGATAGACCACAAAACCTTAAAATTTTTCGAAGAATTAAGAATCATAAAAGGATGTTCTCTGACCATACTGGGATCAGACTAGGACACAGTAACGTGAAAACAGCAAATTAAACAACATCTTAATAATCTGTGAAGCAAAGAGGAAGATTTAAGGGAAATTAGAAAATATTTTAAAGTGAATGAAAATGAAAGTACAATATACCAAAATTTGTGGGATGATGCTGAAGTATGTGATGTTTATAGCACTAAATATGTGTATTAGGGAAGAAAAATGGCCTCAAATCAATAACCTAAGGTTCTACTCTAACAAATCAGAAAAATTAAAAATCAAAATAAACCCAAAGCAAGCAATACGGCAAAGGGTGTTTAAAAAAAAAAAACAAATCAAAACAATAGGGAAAAAAATCAATAAAACTAAAAGGTGGTTCTTTAAAAAGATTAAAAACTTAAGGAACCCCTATTAAGACTGGCAGAAAAGAGAGAAGACAAACTGACAATATCAGGAGTGAAAGAGGGGACACAGACTCTCACAGATATTAAAAGGATAATAAAGACGGACTACAGACAATTTTACACACATAAATTCAACAACTAAAATGAAATGGACCAATTCCTTGAAAAGCACAAACTACTAAAATAGAAGGCAACAATTGTTAACTTGCTTTATGAGGCCAGCACTATACTGATACCAAAATCAGGCAAGGACAATACAAGAAAACCACTGACATATATCCCATAAAAACAGATGCAACAACGCTCAACAAAATATCAGTACAATGAAACCAGCAATTATTTCAAAAAGAGTAATATATCATGATCTAGCAGGGTTTATTCCAGGAATGCAAAGCTGGTCCAGTATTCAAAAATCAATAATATGATCTACCACATTAACAGTCTAAAGAAGAAAAAAACACATGGTCATATCAATTGATTCAAAAAATACTTCACAACTTTAACATCCACTGATAAAACTCTCAGCAAACTAATAAAGGAAGAAAAACTTCCTCAACATGATAATGGGCAACTCAAAAAATCCACAGTAGACATCACTCTTTATGCTGAAAGACTGAACGCTTTCCCCCTAAAATCAGAAACAAAGAAATTGTACTAAAAGCCCTATCAAGTGCAATAAAGAAAGAAAAAGAAATAAAAGGCATACAGAATGAAAAACAAACCAAAAAATTCACTGTTCACAGAGAACATGATTATCTACACAGAAAATTCCAATAAAACCACAAAAAATTCCCAGAATGTATGATTTTAGTAAAATCAACAGACATTAGTTGAATACATAAAAATTAATCATATTTCTATATATCAGCAATGAATAAATAGAAACTGAAATTCTTAAAAACACCATTTTTTACAAAATTTGAAAAAAATAAAATACTTTATAAATCTAACAAAACATGGTACAGGATCTGTATGCTGAAAACATACAAAACACAGATGAAAGAAATCAAAGATGTACTATATATCAATTCTATCTCAATTTAAAAAAGAAAGGAATCAAAGATGACCAAATAAATAGAAACATATACCATGTTCACAGTTTGGAAGATTCAACACAGTAAGTACATCAATTTTCCCCCTAACTGATCTACAGATTTAAGGCTATTCCAATCAAATCCCAATAGAATTACCTGTAAGACACAGACAAGCTGATTCTAAAATGTCTGCAAAAGCAAAACAACTATAAAAGCAAAATGAAATAGCAAAAACATTTCTTTTTTGGTTGGAGGAATCACCTTGCCAATTTTAAGACTTACAGTAATCAAGACAGTGTGGTATGGACAACGGGAGAGACCCATAGATCAACAGACCAGAACAGAACACAGTCCAGAAATAACCTACACAAATAAGGTCAACTGATTTTTGACAGAAGTGAAAAGTCAATTCAATGGAGAAAGGATATCCTTTCAACAAATGGGTTTGAAGCAACCTGACATCCATGCGTGGGGGGAGGGGAATCCCTACCAGAATCTGATACCTTATACAAAATTAACTAAAATGAAAATCACAGATCTAAATGTAAAATTATGACATTTTTAGGAAAAAAATAGGAAAAATATCCTTATAACCTGAGGTTTTATACAACAAAGAGTTCTTAGACATGACACGAAAAAGTATGATCCATAGAAGAAAAAAATTGGTAAGCTGAACTACATCAAAATACTTTTCTTTTTGCAAAAAACAGTTAATAGAGTAAGACAAGCTATAGACTATAAGAAAATGTTTGTTAATCACATATCCTGATATAGGACTCATATCAAGAATTACAAAGAACTATCAAAACTCAAAGAAAATAAACAATTCAATCAAAAATAAGCAAATTCTTGGGGGGATGGCATAGCTCAGTGGCAGAGCACTGAGATCCTGGGTTCAAATCCCAGTACTTTCATTAAAATTAAATAAATAAATAAATAGAATAAAACCTAATTACTTCCCCCCAAAATTAAAAAAAAAAAACTCTTAAATAAAGTTTACCCAAGAGGATACAAGAATGACAAATAAAGAAATGAAAAGTGTTCAGTGTCAGTAGTCACTGGGGAAATGCAAATTAAAACCAGAACGCCACTACACACTCATTTATCAAAATGGTTAAAATAAAATTACTGACAATGTCAAGTGCTACCACGGATGTAGGTCAAGTGAACTCTCACACACTGCTGATGGGAAGTCAAAAAAATGGTACAGCCACTCTGGAAAACAGGTTTGCAGTTTCTTATAATGTTATCACATGACTCTGCTCCCACTCCTTGGTATTTATCCTAAGGAAATGAAAATTTACCTTCACACAAAAACTTGTACACAAATGCTTATAGTGGCTTTACTTATGTCATCAAAACCTGAAAAAACCCCAATGTCCACTGAAGAGAGAATGGATGAACTGTGGTACACCCATTCAATGGAACACTACTTGGCAGTAAAAAGGAACAAACTACTAATATGTGAAGCAACTTGGATGAATCTCAAAATGATTATGCTGAGTGAAAGGAATCAGGCTCAAAAAGCTACATACTGTATGATTCCATTTATATGACTGCTTCAAAAGACAAAATCGTAGTAACAAAGTACTGGCTGTCCAGAGTTTAGGGGTGGGGGAGTGTTCTTGTATAGGAAGAGCATGAGGGAGCTTTTGTGGGTAATGAAATTGCTCTGAATCCTGTGACAGTGAATACATGAATCTACATATGCGTTAAAAATCAAAATAATGGTACATTAAAAAATACAAACTTTACTACATGTTGATTTTTAAGTTAGCACGTAAGAAAACCTCTGAGAAAAACTCTCTGGCAGTATCTAGTAAAGTCAAGCCACAGGTATACTTAGCAATTCCACTTCAGGTATACACTCAGTGAAAGTGAGTACTCTTATCCACCAAAAATCCCATACAGGAATGTGCACACCAGCTTGATTCATATCAGCCATAAAATAAAATAACGCAAATGTCCGTCAATAGTAGAATGGGTAAGTGGTGGAATATTCACACAATGGAAAACTGCCTGCCGTGAAAAAGAAGGATGAATTGCTACATCAACACCACCGAAGCATCTCAGATATAACGTTGAGCCAAACAGCACTAGCAGAAAGCACTTTTACGTGAAGTTCAAAACCAGGCAAAATGCATGAGAACAGCAGTGGGGTGAGGACACGGGGAGACGCTTTGCCTGTGTTCTGCATGCTGAAAGACTGGTTATGTGGGGCACACATGAAGGACTGCATCACAGAGATGCTCACGCACCTGCACGACACTGATAATCTCAGCGAAATCACAGAAGGCTCTAGATTTTCACTCAGCCTACTCCCTCAGTCACTGAGGTAAATGTGAACTAGAGAGTTATGATTCCTGAACCTCATTTCACCATGGCAGTGATTTCTACAACACGGCGAAGGCCGCTAAGTGCACCCTGCATACCCCAAGATCCAAATCACACCACTGACCACAGGGTATCCTGTATGATGGCCTTTAAACACCACTGACGTCACCTCTTCCTTGCCACCTCAGCAATGAAACAGGATTTATGTTATTACAAATGCCCCCTACACTGTCCATTTCTCTGACTTTAAAACTGTAAAATCACTGTTTGAAAATGCACTTTGATCCCTATCCCAAATAGCTTCCTTTTATAAACCTCTAACAGCATTACAAAAATAGCCCTAAATTTCCATTTGATCCCTCCATGAGTGTAAATTTTATGTAATTTGATATCCCTACAGCTAATGACACAGGACAATTTCCACTATACAGCAATTTTGGTGAATAACATATACATGACTTGATTTTGCGCACTTATTCAAATACAGAATTCTGATGGTATAAGTATTTTTATTTTGTGTAAATATCTAGATGCTTAACTGTTAAAGGATGGGAAAAGCCAAAATTTGAAAAAGAAGAGTCGTTGGTAATATCAGGTTGTAAAAGTACCATTTGCCTTCTTGCTCCATATGTAGTGTTCATTGTAGAAAAGTCTTAAAGCTTGAGGCATGCACAAAAAAGGGAAAAAGAAAGTCATCAGAATTTCTAACACAAATTATTTTGACATATACCCTGTCAGACTTTCCTATGCAAGTAGATATACATGCAGATGCTTTACAAAAATGGGTCCTCACTGCAAACACTTTTCTATTTTATAAGCTTCTTTCTTCACTTAATACACCATGAATTATGAAAATTACATTTTAAAATAGAAATGCAAAATAGCAAGATGCATTCTCGATGGCCTTCACCTATCAACTTTTCATTTTGGGGCTAACCCTTCACGGTCACGTTAGAGCAGACACCACACACGGCTGCTAGAGCGGGCTGCGTCCAACACGCACATGGTCACTGCTCCCCGCTCCCCGCCAGTGGAAACGGTGTCACTGACACTGTCCTGCAGCAGAGTCCCTAACAAAGAAAGCCGGCCAGACTCCCGAAACCACCGACCATGTACACGCACAGCACTGTGTGCCACTAGGCACAGTGTAAGCTCTTCCAGGCTCTACCTGCTGCATTCTTACCACGGCCCTAGGCGCTGGGTGCCACGCCACCCAGAAAACTAAGGCTGTGCGAGGTTGTACCCGAGGGCACAGAGCCTATCAAGCTTACACCCCCCAAGCTCTGAACACCAGAATTCTGCTGCGGGCCAAAGCCGCTACAAGCTACACTGTGCTTTCCTACATATCCTACGGTCCGCATTTGTTTGTAGAACCACCTCTGTGCAGAAACGCCTTCTTTGCCTCAGCAGCCGCCTTGCTGAAGATGCTCCCAGGTCTGATGCTCAGGCTGTGCCCAGCACACTGGGCAGTGGGGGTAAGACCGCTCCTGAGAATCAAGACAGTCCTTCCACTCTTCTTTCTTAGACACCTTCTCCCTGGTGACCCTACATGAAATGGAGGGAAGGTGCCCCAAGAATCATAAGTCTCTCTGGGAAACGCAGGGCCAGTCCCTGTTACTTGTTGACAAACACTGTTCTGTAGCAGGTAAAGCGTCCCAAAGAACTCACCATCTGTGAGGAAACAATTCAGAGATTTTAGAATTACATTAAAAATTTTTGTGATTGCTATTTACCATAGCCAAGACATGGAAGCAACCTAAATGTCCACTGACAGATGACTGGATAAAGGAGATGTGGTTATCTAGATACAATGGAATACTACTCAGCTATTAAAAAGAATAAAATAATGCCATTTGCAGGAACATAGATGGACCTAGAGATTATCATACTTACTTCAATGAGTGAAGCAAGTCAGACAAAGAAAGACAAATATTATATGACGTCACTTATATGTGGAATCTAAAAAAAAAAAAGACACAAATGAACTTATTTAGAAAACAGAAACATACTCACAGACATAGAAAACAAACTTATGGTTACCAAAGGGGAAAGGAAGGTGGGGAGGGACAAATTAGGAGTTTGGGATTAGCAGATACAAACTGCTGTATACAAAAACAGATAAACAACAAAGTCTTATTGTACAGCACAGAGAAGGATATTCAACAGCCTGTGATAACTTACAATGAAAAAGAATATATATGTATAACTGAATCACAGTGCTATACCCCAGAATCTAACATAACATTGTTAATCAACTATACTTCAGTTTTAAAAAAAATTTTTAAAGAACTTTTGTGATTGCTGTTACCCTGTTACTGTATCTTTAGTGCACTATTATTAAAATACTTGTGAAGAAAATTTAAAACTAAAGACATAGCTTTAAACTTTAAAATATAATTTAAAAAAAGTATGGTTTTAAAGGTGTAGGTCACAACTCAATAGTACATAATAAAATAACTGTACACTACAACCAGCATTTTGCTAATGAAAATGAAGGGAACAGAAAAGAACAAAAAGCACTGCAGCATCATTTTGTAAAACGCCCTGTGTGTGTGCAGGGTGAGCAGGCACTGCAAGTCTCAATGTGTCTCATTTATTATAGTGGGGCCTGGTCAAAAACCTAGATTGGTAAGTTTAACAGAATAAGACAGTCCTATCAAAAATAGTACTAGGCATACGGTTATCTGAGTTTGCAAAGTGCGATTAGAATACTAACTAACAGGTTATTTTAGCTAAATATTGCAAACTGAGAATTATTAAAATCTAAAATTATGGAATGAAAGGCTAGTGTAAGAATTTTTACTGTACTACCAACATGTCTTTATTTAATCAATAGAAATGGAGATATTTCACATCCAGCTATAGCAAATATTATCAACATTTTTGTAAAGGATTTGCTTAGGCAGACCTCCTCCCCTCCCCTCCTGGGCAGCAGTAAGCACTGCCTTTAATTTACAGTCCAACGATGCAAATACCTAAGGATCCCAAGAACTACACCTGTTTCACTCTCTAGGGCACTGGAAAAGGGCAACCTCTGGAAACTCTGAAGTCCAAGGCTGTGACCCAGGATCCAAAACAAATTTGACAATATAATCTAAAGAAAGCTCCAACAACTGCACTTATCACCCAGAGAACACTCCAAATACCTTAAGCTACAAGTAAAACACATACACATTACTGTACATTCGTATAATAGTATACGCATCGGAGAGCCAAGCCATATGCAATGATTTATCATCTGCTCTCACTACATACCATTCCAACATAACATTTAGAATCTTGCATAAAACAATTTCTCTCAAAATGGCACACAAATAAATACTTCTGAGGAGACTTTTGTTGTTACTGTTGCAAATATCTTTGAAACAACTTAATTTAACACTTTTAACAACACAGTTTTTGTGAAAAAATCCGTTATCTTTCAGGAGACAACTGAATGAGTGGAAGCGAATGCCAACTGCATACCCACGTACGAGGACTTGTCTTGTAAAGTGCTGCGACCAAGAGCAGAATAAAAGTGGCAGCAATCCACAACTGGCGGAGGCAGCGTGTGCTAGCTGCCTTCATAAGCAAAACGGGAAAGAATTACTACTCAAACTCCGTAAGTTCAAACCCTGCACATATGCCTGCTTTACCAGACCACCAGTCACCCCTAAGAACTTTAAACAAGCAGGGAATGAGGGGTCAGGGCCGCCACCGCGGGAAGACTGTCAGGCACCTTTCAAACGACCATACTGGAGAGGGCCGAGAAAACTTCCAGGAGGCACTTTTCAAAGATCATTCGCAAGGGCGCGGAGAAGGTGGGCGCCGCGAGGGAAGCCCCGCTCGCCACCTGACTCACGCTCATCCTGGAATCGCACTGGAGGGAGCTCAAGGACG